GCTGGGAATTGAACCCGGGTTGCAGCGGTGAAAGTGCTGCACCCTAACCACTAGACCACCAGGGGCCCCCCTAGGAGGAGGTTCTAGCTTAATTAAAGCATCTGAGTTGCATTCAGGGGATGCAGGTTAGTATCCTGTGGATCTTAACAGAAACTAAGAGGGGTTAGCTCTTGTTTAAGGCTTTGAAGGCCTTCGGTTTAGATAACCTAAGTTTCTAGGAAATTGTGAGTACTATGGGGGATAATGGTAGGAGTATAATTGATAAAGTAGTAAAGGCTGTGGTTAGAATGTTGGTTGGTTTGTTAATTTGCCATTGAAGATCTAAAAATATCTGACATCACCTCATGGAGGATGTTGTATGGAGGAGAAAACAGAAGTTTCCCAGATCTGCCACAGAAAGTGCTGCTGAACACCAAGCCACCCAACCTACAAATGACCTCTGGACGCTGCTTCTGCCGCTGTTTTCTCCTCCATACAACATCCTCCATGACGTGATGTCAGATATTCCTGCAGACAGAATTTTCTCTTCTCTACATCCATCCTGCTCCCCCAGGTCTCTTCCTGGTTCCAGGTGGCCCAGTTTTGGGCCTGACATTTCCTCAAAAGAAAATTTTAGATCTTCTATCAGGATCTACAAATAAATTTTAATTTCTTAGTGATTCAGAAACACCATGGGAGGTCTGCCTCCTCACTTGTCACATTTGTCCTTCTTTAGCATTATGTTCAGAATGCCTGTTCTGTGTAGAAGACTCTGGATTTGTAGGAGACCATGATCATGTGAGGATTGCTGAGATGAAACTGGAGGATGGGGCAGAGCAAAGAAGAGGGGAACGGTGTGGGGGCAGAACCTCCACCCCTGAAGCACCCTTGAGCGAGCCCTGGGACAATCTTATCCCTCAACCAGCTCCATGTTGTCTAATGTGGGACCAGGACGCTTCCTTCCAGGACTGATCCTAAAATCTACACAGTCCATCCAAAGTGAGGATAAGAGAGGGAAAAGGAGTACAATGAACCTATATCTGACTCTACTATAAAGACCCTTTGTAACTATGTGACAAGCAGATATAAAAATCAAGTTTACCAAGCTAGTTTTCTGGTATGCTAACCTAGAGATGAAACTACACTATTTTGCTGAAGAGAAGTGAGACATGCTGGAGTGGAATGCCCAGCTGTGATTTCCACCAGAGAGAACAAGGGCGAGGTTAGGGCCCCTCACATGGTCGGTACCCCGGGTGTGCCATGGTGACATCTTTGCAGGTCATTTATCGCAGAAAACTTATTAGGCTCTAGAAATCACACCATACTGCACATTCCATGGAGGACAAGAAAACATGTGACTGACCTTCCTAAGCTGATGGGAGGTGAATGTTGCCTTCACCTCACACCTAGAAAGTTGCTCACTTACTGAAGGAGAGATGAATACAGTTTTCTCATGGAAGCACCAGACCTGATGTCTTTGGATCTGCTGTCTGGTCTGGTTTCTGTATTCCTCCGGAGAGAAATATTTTTCCCAGTGGAATATTTCTCCTCATGGCCTTTTTCATCTCAGTGTTTTTCAATGTGTGAGTCATTGGATTTACCATTGGAGTGACCACAGTATAAACAAGGGAGGCCACCATGTCCCTAGGGAATTTCTTATAAGGTTGGGCATAGATGAAGATGCAGGGGATGAATATTAAGCTCACAACAGTTTTCTGGGTTCCACAGGTACACAGGGCTTTCCATTTCCCTTCTGTGGTGCATGTCCTTATCTTAAGCAAGATCTCAGTGTAAGAAATTACAAAAAGAGTAATAATAATCACTCTACTATTAAACACTATCTGTAGTTCAGCCATGAGAGTATCAGTGCAGGCCAGTTTGATGACTTGAGGGACATTACAGTAGAAATTGTCCAGTACATTTGGACCACAAAATAGTAGCTGGAGAAGAAAATAAATCTGTACAATAGAATGAAGAAATCCACTGAACCATGCAGTTGCCACCAATCCTGTGCACATATTCCAGTTCATGATAGACAAGTAGCACAGTGGCACATAGATGGCCACATACTGATCAATTGTCATCCCCACAAGGAAAAAAGCCATTGCACCTGCAATGAAACAAAACCCTAACTGGGATCCAAATGATCCAGTACAATAGGGGTTGCTAGGACAATATACCCATGAACAATGAAGGTAGATTAGCATACTACCAAGTATGAAAAAACACTATCCTGAAATATCATAACTAATGATAGGCCTTGTTTGGTCCTTTTGATTTTTCATACAAGAAATCCTTGACCTTAAAAAGGAAATAACTGCATTGAATTATAGTTATCCTAGCCAACAGATTTTCTTTCCCTCTCTCCTGCCCAAGTACTACCGATTTCAATTGTGAGGAATGTGCATGTCTTTGTCCATGTTTCTGAGACTGTGTGTGTGTGTGTGCGCATGTGTGTTTCGAACCAATACATGTTCCCTACAGGTAGGTAGGAGAAGAGTGCAAGTATGTGGTTGGAGTCTACATTATGGAATTTGGGAGCTACAGCCTTGCTTTGGATTTCAGCTTCAGATTTACAATTTTTTAAGCTGTGAGAGGGGATGTTTGGGTTAGACTGGGAAATCTATAGGACGGGTAGTCACAACATGTTCCTACAATCTCAGAAAATTGTCCCAGTCAAGTCTCAACCATGGTTCAGTGGAAATAAAGAGGTACAAGGAAGGGAAATGACAACTTTTATTAGGAAAACAGCAATGTCTCACAATTTGTGAAAGAATGTGTAAGGTGGACTAACAACGCAAATGGTGCAGAACTATCAGTGGTTCCAAAAACTCCGAATTAAGCTGTCTTTGATACTGTGATGCAACTCAGCAGTCAGCCCAAAGCTAACTGCAAAGCAAGGCACCAGTGTAGATCACTCAGCTTGGTTGGAATGAGACCAAAACCCCAGGATCCATTCAGCCACAGACATCCCATATCCCGGTGCCTGGAGAGATGCACCTATCATACACTGGACTTGCCTGTACAAACTGATACACTTACAGAGGTGCTACTGATTTTAAATGCCTCAGCATCTTCCTGCCTATTGCCTCTGATGAGGCCAGCAATCACAGCCCCTGCACACACACAACCAACCCCTTCAATGCCCAGAGGGGTCATCACCCCCATGAGCACAGCCCATAGGGAGGCCCATTTGGGCTCCAGCAGATCAAGGAGGAGTGCAGTTTCTGCCAAAATTCCTGGCAGTGGGGCAGTATCAGGGGATGTGGAAGGAGCATGTCTGCTCATTTAGGGATATCTGGTCAAAGGAGCCATAAACAACACAGAGATAAACCAGACACATGATGGGGAGCCAGATATGATAAAAACAAACCTGATCAGTCACCTGAAGGGGTAAGGCTGAGAACATTTATTTTTACAGTAGGGAAGGAAAGGGAGGGAAACAAAAGAGAGTTAGAAAACCTGACCTATTAACATTAACAAAGCCAATAACCAGAAAAAAATGGCACCATTCACACCAATCGATGAGCTCTCAAGAAGCTATAGGCAGCCAGGACTTTGCAACTAAGGATACAAACTTGAGTAGCCAGGATGTTGGATGTGTTAGTTGTTGAGGGAACGGGCAGGGGTAGTGAGCAGCCAAAAGGGGGTTAGACAGAAAAGGGTTATAAGAGGCTGGGTGGGTGTAAAACAGGGTCAGTCAGTGCTGGTCTGACTGAGCTCTACACATGACCACAACGCATCCTGGCTTATTCTATCTTTCCATAACTCTCTGAGCAACCTCACTATCCCATGTGAGCACTGCAAGGGCTAAGTGTCAGCTACTGGGGGGCCAGCATGCATGGATTTGGGACCAATACTGAAGTCAGATGGGGGAGAGAGGGAGCAGGCACCACAGCCTGTGGTATCAGCTCTGGGAGCCAGCAGGAACTCGCTCTTGTGTCTTGGGACTTCTGGTACCACCCACGGGATCCAGAGAAGGACCAGAACCTCGACCGGACTGTGACCACCACTGTCAACCAGACTGCGACCATCACTCGCACCAACATGTTTTTCTCCTCTCCTTTTACTTTTGGACTCAGGGGATCACGTGGAGCTCAGCATGGGACCCAACAAACAACATTCTGTTCGTGCCCCAGGGTGCTGGGTTATACATCTGGGTTTTTGTGGGCTAAAACCAATTGTTCATCTGTAAAATTGTATTTATTGTACTATTTTTATTAAATTGTTATTCTGACTTACAATCTCTTTTGAGTTGGGTTCATTTCCCCTGACGGTTTACCTTGAAACCAGTACAACCTCTGGGATTGAGAAAGGCAAAGCAGAAGACCGTAAGTAGGTTTCTATGTCATCATAAAGGAAAGATGGGGAAAAACTTCCAGTACCATGGAAGAATTACAACAGCTAATAACTACAACCAGTTTCCTGCTGCCACCCACCTCTCAAGGAAGAAGACATTCCACCCCCAGCTACTTTGCCAGCAGTTCACATGCACATTGTGGAAAAAGAAAGATGTGCAATTCCACAGTCACAATCCTTTGAGGGGCTTGTGCCCTTCCCCAAATGCAATGCAGCTAACGCAGAGATTGCAGATGGCAGTAAGAGGGATGACTCAAACTGGGGGTGCACACAGGGAGACAGATGGGGAAAAGATCGCTCACTCTTTCTGGATGGGGATGGGGAAGTGTCAAGGGGCAGGGCTCCCCTCTTTCACCCAGGCGAGTGCATGTGAGCTCACAAAAACAGGGCCCGGCCCAGCCCAGCCAAGGAGGCCTCAAGCCACAATCTCCTTCAGAGCTCCAGCCAGGTCAGGGAAGATGAAGCAGTAGCCACTCTCCAGGGTGCGTTTCGGCAGCACCCTCTGTCCCTCCAGCAGCATGACAGCCCGCTCTGCCCCAAAGACAGCCCGCACAGCCCAGGCAGGCACTGGCAGCAGGGCTGGGCGCCCCAGGGCTGCAGCAAACTCCCGAGCAAAGGTGCCATTGGAGGTGGCAGAGGAGGACGGGGCAACACCGTTGAGGACACCTTGCAGGCACTCACTCTCCAGGGCGTGACACACGATCCCAGCCAGGTCCCGAATATGGATCCATGGGAAGGGCTGGAGCCCAGAGCCCAAGGGGCCTCCAAGTCCCAGACGGAAAGGCCAAAGCATTTGAGAGATTGCACCACCACCTCGACCCAGCACTACACCTGTGGGGAGAAGAGAGTGAGACCAGGTCCCCCCGCCCAAAAGGGCAAAAGCCTCCTTCATGCCCAGACCTACAAGCAGGAGACACTCCTTAGAGGGCTGGATTGGAACAGGACCCCAGCAAGAAGAGACAGAAGAACTGATGGCCTTTTCCCACCTCTTCACACTTCTGCACCAGAACCAATGCAGAGTCACCCTTAACAGGCCCCTCAGGGACCTGATCTCACCTGATCTCACCACAACTCCACGAGCTGGGCTTCCAGGGATGAGAGCTGCAGCCTCCCAGGAGCTCACCAGGCGTGAGAAGAAGTCAAAATTCCCTCCAGGACTGTCTTCAGTATACTCAGCTGTGGGACTGGGGCAGTAATAGCCTGAAGGGTAACAGCAGAAATGGGGTCAGGGTTGAATGATGAGACCAACCCCCCCTTCCCCAATGGACCATCTTCCCTGCCTTCAGGAGCCCAGAACTTCTATGAGAAAAAGCTGAAACAATTGGGATTGTTCAGCTTGGAAAAGAAATGGCTTCGAGGTGACCTACTTGTGGCCTTCCAGTGCCTGAAGGGAGCCGACAAGAAAGTTGAAGAGAGACTATTGACAATGACTGACAAAAGGACAAATGGCTTCAAACAGAGTAGGTTTAGATTGGATACTAGGAAGAAATTCTTCCGTGAGAGTGGGAAGGCACTAGCGCGGGTTGCCCAGAGAAACTGTTGCTGCCCTATCCCTGGAAGCATTCGAGACCAGGTTGGACGGGGCTTGGAGCAACCAGGTCTAATGGAAAGTGTCTCTGCCTATGGCAGAGGGGTGGAACTGGATGGTCTTTAAGGTCCCTTCCAGTCCAAACCATTCTGGGATTCTACGATTCCGTGAACTCCATCACTCCACCAGGGACATCCCCATATGAACAGCACAGGGCAATGCTGATGAGTTTTTCAACTACCAATGTGCTCTACGAGTTCAGTGGGATACACTAATACTGAGATTGAGCTGGCAGCCACAAAAACCAAGTAGGTCTGCAGGCAACACACTGAACTGGCTGCACAGAACGGCACCTGCACTAAAATTGGGCATTACAGAATATAAACTACATCAGCTTTCAAGACTGTAGCAAGCAAAAATGCAAAGCTGGAGATATGCAGAGGGATTCAGCTGAGGTGCTACAATTTGTCTAAACAAATCGGTTCTACGGGATGCCTAAAGGCTTTCCCAGGAAAACACAGAAAAGGTGCTGTCCTAATGACACCAAGAGAAAGCGTACGGACCCAGATTCCTCTTCAGCAGTACCAAAAAGCTGATCAAGGTTTGCCTAAACACAGTGACGTTGATGGCAATAAAGCTGACATTTCAGGGCAAGATGTGTTCCCCTGGAAGCGTGTTCCTGTCTGGAGGTAAAACCTCTCCAGGTCAGCATGAGTCATATCTTGGCCGGGCCCAACCAATACCTACGCCAGTGACGAGGACCCAAGCACGGGGTGGCTGTTCAGCATCAACAATGGCTTTGGCCAAGGTCTTTGTGGTCTCAACCCGGCTGCTGATGACTTCCCTGCAGAAGGCATCACCCCATCTGGGAAAGGGAGAGTCACGGATTATATTCCTCACAAGGACAACCTAGGAAACAACAGCACCAAGCGAGAACCCGGCACACACCTGCTCACAAGCACAGGAGGAGTCATGGGAACTCCCTCCACCCCAGAGCAATGGGAGGACATGTGACCTTATAACCTAAATGCAAGGGAACTTTGGGAGATGGTTGCTCTTCACTTCCCTCAAAACATTGTGAGTTTTGGACTGCCTTAGGACAAAGGCAGCAGAGCAGCTGGACAACAGAGATGGTGTTCCTCATAGAAGTCAAACTTTGGTTCTGATTTTGCATTATCAAATGTAGGCATCCAATGTCCTTTTGGAAAAGTAGAACTAATTTTTCTGACTTCCAGCTGTAGATTCAGAAAGGAACCTTTCTTCCAAAGGTCTCTCAGGACCTAACAGGCCCACAGAAATGTTTTGGATACTTGAGGATAC